TGATTCACTAAGGAACCAACACATATAAAATCACTTAAGATTAAAAAATGCTAAGGTTTGCCTCACTGATAATTTATCTAATGGCTGCTAAGATTGGGTTAATGGGAGAAAGATGAGAGAGAACAGCACTACATCGCTATGGAAACTAGAATTTTCAAAATAAACACCTTTGCAGAACTGAGGTTGCAGATCTAAAATATCTTGGTTTTGATGTCACCTCCCTTTACCATGAGACCCAGCCAGGCTGACCAGTCAGGCATAGGGAAAAAGCTTGCATGTGGTGACAGAAGATATCCTATGGCTTATGTGCCTTATTCCAGTGTAGGTACGGGCCCTGAATGGAAACTTCAGTGATTGATTTGTTACCTGAACACTTCTGGGGCCTTTCTGCCCCACAGCCTGTCTGGCCAGGCCAATGCAAAATGATCCATACCACTTCAGATGGGAAGTGTCACCTTTATCCCACTGTACTGATAATCCTAAGTATTTGCAGTCTTTTTTTTAATATGTAAATATATATATATATATATATATATAAAATGAACTATGACAACACGATATTTACAGCTTTGTGAAGTTCAATTCCCTTACTCACACTAGGAAACTCCTTACCCTGGAAATGGCTCCACTGCAATTACTGTTTAGGGTATCCAGTCCTTTGCTTCCTGTTAGTCACAAATGGCAAATACAGTTAGTAACTTCTTCACTTGTGCCTGGGCAAAGGGTTTCTCATTTTAGACACAAACATACCTCCACACCCCACCTACCTTATACCATCTCACTGATTGGTGCTGTAAACAAGTCAAGGCTCTAGAAATGCTGACTCACTGTGCTAAGACTATGGAAAATATTTAGAGCTGCAAAGAAGAAAAGCCCAGCAGGTTTCCTGCCCTTCCTCCTTATCTGCAAGCCCCTTGCCATGACAGGCTGTAATGAAGGACCTTGCTTCCTGACAGGAGGCAAAGAGTAGGTACTTGCTTCCTAGAGATAGCCCAGATTCCTTTGAATTCCCAGTTGTTAGCTAGTAATTGCAGGCAGGGGAGGACAACCCCCAGTGCTTACAACCACAGGGCTACAGATGTTGAGAGATTAATGGCTTCTGGGTAGGCTTTCTTACCCAATGCAGCATTGCTCACTTCAGTGCACTTCCTGGGACAGAGTCAAGTTCCTTTAAAATGCCTCAGTATCTGCAACAGAAGGTTGTTCCTTACCTATGGACTCTACTGAACCGGATTTATTACTGATTCCTGCCTTCAGCACAGCTGAGTCAGTGCAGACAGGCAAATCAGTGTTTGCTTTGGGAGGGCATGGGCAAGCAGCATGGGGTGAAAATTCTGTTTCCTTGTGGGCGTGCCAGCACAGGCAGGGAGAGGGACAGGGACCGGTGCTCACATTGAGCCGGGGGCTGTGGACAGAGGTGGAGAGAGTGGGGAGATTTGGGCTACCTCGACAGGATCCAGTCCGGGTGCATTCTGCCTGTGTTAGCACACTGCTGCGCCCAAACTAATCGCCTCTGGATCTTATCCAAACAACAAGCTGAGTGCCTACTGCATCAACAGCCTGTTTTCCCCACTGGGAAATGACCTGTTGCAAAAGGCAGAGCATTTAAGGAAACAAAGTTTTATACCCACACGATTCATGGGCCAAATAACTTCAGAAAGCCTGAGGAGCATGGAGCCTTTATGACCGGCTGGGGATGGGCAGGTTGCAGTGCTGCTGCCTCCTCCTCCTCCTCCCATTACCTACACAGCTCATTTACAAAGAAGCAGAGACTGATGAGCTACATTTACACGCTGGGCAGGGCAGACCAAGGAACAGCTCTCACTGAAGGGAAGGAGCAGGCTGAGGTGAGAAATTGCAGTGCTCAGAAATGACTGTACTAACTGGTCATGATGATGGTATTGAGCTGATTTTACTTATAACCTGTTCTAACTGCAGTCTGCAATTAATGTGGCCTGTAGCATCTAAATGCATTAGAAGCACACAAGTTGGGATGCAGAGCTCCTTTTTCTATTGGCAGCTGACTTCCAGCTGCACATCAAATGAAATTCTTAGCAAGCTGATCATGCGCATAATTCTCTCTATACTTGTCAATATGGAGATGTATTTGGCTGAAGTCTCCCTCTTGTGAGGCAACAGGAGCCATTTTAAATAGGAGGGGACAGAGGCTGGTCCTACAAGACCCACACTAGTTCAAGAGAACAGTAACTATAGTGCTTTCACCCTATTTATAGTGCTTACTCAAAGCAAACCTGAAGTCTTATCAGTCTTTCTGATAGTTACAGTGAAGGTGGCTCAGTGTGAAGATGGCCCTGTATGAAGAATAGATTGGATCATAAATGCAGAACAGCTGCTTAAGCAGAACACCAGGAAAAGAAGCAATGATGTTGCTGGGCAGAGAAAAGCACTGCAGGAGCACACACATAGCCTCCTTCCTCCAAAGGCACATGCGCACTGCTATCACTCAGTCACATTTCTCTCAAGCTTCCTGGTAGCAGCATCAGCAAGTGCACTCTGTCACATCTGACTGGCTAAGGACTCTGTCCTCATCTGACAGTAATGACCTGGCCTCGATTCTTCACATTTTTGTTGCCTCCTTCCCCTCTTTCAGCACTGTGAAAGCACCAAGCATGAAACCTGCAGCACAAAGGAAATTCTCACTGGCACAGCCTGCTGCAGTACACTTACCTCAGCAGCACAGGAGCTGCAGGCATGGCAAACCTCACATAACCTACATTAGATTCCCATAATGTTCCAAATCAGGCACTTAGCTTCCAGACTTGGCTGAGACTCATCTCCATGGCCAGACTTAGTATACACAAGAGAGACTAAAACTCTGAGGATCATGGTGTACAGCTTTGCTCCTTTGGTAAAATGTAATGCTCTACAAAAACAGACAGTTCGACCCCATAAAAACAGCTTATTTTTGGCCCAAGAACAAATACTGAAATCCCCGTAGAATTAAGGGCCATCCAGATTTCTCCACATGCAAATTGCACTGTAAAAGATCAGCTCTCTGGTTGAATGGCCACAGCAAAACACACTTGACATTGCCATGGCCTAGCCTCTGATCTGCCGCTGGCCAGAGGTGATGTCATGGGCTGTGTTCACCGTCTGGAAATGAGGAGCAAGAAACGCTGCATTGGCTGGCCAGCCCATCCAGTGACACATCCTGACATGGGCCACAAGGAGACAGGAACAGACTGATAACTCTCAAACATCATGGAAACAAAACCCCAGGGAGAAGTTGTCTGGGTATGAGCACACTAACTTGGCCAGCAGCAGTGGGTCCGCCCGGGCCATTGACACTTTAGCCCATCTTTCCCTAGTCACTTCCCATCTCTCATTGCCTCTCTTTCCTCAAAGCTGTTAAGCTAAACTGCTGCTGTCCCCGCTTTGTTTACCCAGTTCTACCTGCACTGAACAGGAGCAAAAGTGCTCTCCCCCTGATGTCACCACCACCTTTGAGAAAAAAGCTGACCTGCAAGCTATTTTTAGCCACACTGAAAAGTTGTGAAGCTATTTTGGTCACATCTCTGTATGAAAGCTGCAGGACACTGACAGGCTCAATGATTGCCTAGGGCAACAGGGGCTTTAACTGGGAACAGGCACAGCCTGCAACTCTGCATTAAAGCATCTGTGCCCTTCCCATGCCATAGGACTCTTTAGACTAAGACTTCATTTCCCTTCCTTTTAGGAAAGAGTAACACGCCTTCCTGAATTCTGCTGGATACCAGAAGCTCTGTAAGGCCTTTGCAGTGATGGCCTCCAGCTTCCACTATCTCCAGTTCTGCAGAAGGTACTATTTATTCTGTGGGCTCCCTCAGTCCCATTTGCTTCATTCCCTAGGAGGAGGTAGGTGCAATTATGAGATCACAAAAACACCGGACAAGATTTTATCAATCTTCCTTTGAATTAGACCTCTGTAAAAAAATCAATAAACATTAGGCTAGTGCCTGCTGAGGAGTGGGGTGCACATAAATCTGTGGAGGTAAGAGGAAGAACAGAAAGGAATCATTTGCATAGCAACATATTGTTCTGAATACAGAGTAATGCCTGGGAGCTCTGGGGTATGTCCAGGGCATCGGGCAGAAGGTGCCTGGTCTAGACAGTTGTTTTCTCTGGAGTGCCCAAGGGTTGGCTGCCAAGTTTGCTGGGGCTCTGTAGCAAGTGCAAAGCACAGGCAAAGTAAAAGTCAAAGCAACTGGATTTAACAGAAGTAAGCCCAGAGATACAAAAAGAATCTTGAAGGATATGAGATACAAGGTAAATGAGAGAAGAGAAAAAAAAAAAACAAACTGAAACTGGTGTTTAGGACAGGGACAAATGAGACAGATCTATGAAGAAGGAACAAGAGAGTAACTATACAAAAGTTTATGAACAGCTGTCATCCAACCCTCCCTAGCAAACTTGCCTTAGGACTACTGCTGTCTGCAGCTACAGTGCATGTTTTCCCAAGACACTTCAGCAGGGTTAACAATTCTGCACCTTCCCCATTTGGAAAAAGCCCCTGATGCAGCAAGAAGAATCAGAAGTCCATCAAGTTAGATTTCAAAGTCTCTCTCCTGTATTTTTTCTCCCAACTTTCTTCTAATGGTGGTTTGTTAACAGTTCTTACAGTAAAACCTACATCCTGCTTCTAAGGTGAGCCACTCCTTACTTCACTGATGCAACTTGCACCTGCTTTCATGAGTCAGCACAAGCCACATATCTCCTCTACAGCCAGATTAGTGCCCGTAACAGGATGAACCATCCCAGGCAAACTCTGGTGACCTGTTGCAAACAGATTTGATATGCAGACCATCACTGTATTTCACTGGCTATTTCAGCAGAAGGAGCTGGTTTAACTCATTTGGTCCCAGACAAGCACTAATCTGTGTTATACACTTTGCAATCTTCATGCCAGGAAAATCAGCTGACCATTAACTAATATCTTATGACATGTAAATTAAAACTAGCTTAATAAGAATTTAACTTTTTAGTCAATAGGTGGAAATGGCATGGACAGAATAGTATTGTTTAATATGCTGTTATTTTAGCAGGACAGAATGGAACTCTCACAGTTCAGATCAGACACAGATGTGTCCAGCAGCAATATGTCAAGACCTGTTGGATCAAAAAGCTCAATGAAGTGTTTTGTGTTTCAGCTTCCCCCAGGGCTATGCACAAGACTAGCAGCAAGCATTACACAGTGAAAACGTTTAGGTCAGATGAAATAACAGCAACGTGTTGCATTATTTCCCTGATGAGCTTAAGCAGCCTTTCTTTGAGATACTGCACAAGCAGGATAGCAAACACAGCACAAGAGCATCTGACAGAACAGATAATCTGTCAGCTCCTGCATGGTGGATCCATGCTCCCAGTAGCAGAACTTCACCAGTGTAGGGAGTAACTACTTCACCTTTCATCATCTCTACAGATTCTTCATCTTCATCCATTATCACACAATCTTGCTGTGAGAGCATTACTGGCATCCTCACTTGTCTCAACTGATTATTTAATGGAGACATCCTATCACCATCTCCACAATGCTGATATTTTTCTAGTAAATCTCAAGAAATTTAATTTTTTTTTTTTCAAAATATTCTTACACCTGTTTCATTTTCCGGTGTGGAAACACCAAGCATACAGTAACAAATCACAAGCAGCTCACCCCATAGACGTAGACAGGGATTGTCCACCAATTGTGTGGATCCTGGCAAGCGCACACACCACGCTGGAGCTGACGACTGCAGTTGTTCCCAATCTCCTCTAGGGAGTGCAGTCGGAAAGGAAGAGATGGAACTGCAGTGCACATGGCCAGCTGGGAATCGGTGACTCAGGATATTCAGTCACAAATTGTGTCTGCCCATTTCCAGCTGAAGGCAGGGAGGAGCAATGAGGTTTGGGCTTGACCTAAGAGCAGAATTCTACCAGAACCCCAGGTATGCTTTACTGTGTGACAGAAAGGTCTGCCAAGATACTAAAAACCAAGATGTAAATCAAGCAATAGGACTTCAAATACTAGATCAATCATTTAAGCCAATATCCCCACAGCTGAATGCAGCATGGACAACACTTTTGTGAGGCTTCCATCTCCTATGCCCTAGTACATCACTATGTACATCCATCAGATCATTGAGCAAAGGTATGCCTAGTCTCCAAACATCATCCAGGCCTTGGTCTCTGCACAAAGAACATCAGAGACATTTTTTAGAACTCGATGTATTTTATGTGCATATGCACAGTTCTCAGTACTAGAAACTGGGCAGACCCATCAACTTATTCCCCCAAGGATTCACAAAACAGCTAAGGAGATATAGCACCTCTCTGATCTCTGTGGTAAAAAATAATGGATAAAAAGGCCTAAGGTTGCCTATTTTTTTCCTTACAAATGATATGCATGCATTGATTCTGTGACCTGCTACACCTTCCTTAAAGAAGGACCAGAATGTAAAATATATCTACTCAGAACAGGATTTTTGCCCTCTTCTCCTATCCCAAAATAATAACGATCTATGTTCCCAGACTCAAGATAAAAAAACTCTTAAGAAACACAGAAGTCATACTACCATCTACCTAAGGCAAAGTGTAAGAGAAAAAACTCACCAGGTAAGAGTCTGGATGGGTAAAGCAGATCTGCAGGAGGGACATACCTACATTTAGACAGATGCCAGACTTGATACCAAGTACAGCAGCAGATGCAGTGAGTTCCGTGAAGTTACTGACACACCGTGACAAAGCGGGTCTGTGGAACCACTGAGGAGCTGCAGCTTTGAGAAACTAAGGGACAGTAACTGTTGCTGCCTACGGACAAAGCTTCCTGGCTGGCACAGACAACTTTGCCACTTCCAGAAATTACCTACAGCAAAACAGGAGCAGACATTCACATGTCCCAAGGACAGCAACCAGACCAACAGCTAGGGATTTCACTTTCCATTCCAGTAGCAGCAGATACCTGTGTACCAGAAGCCTCATTACTGACATAGGGGAAAAAAAAAAAAAAAAGAACAAAAGCATATAGAAGCTGTCATACATAAAAAGGAACCATCAGCTCTTTCTTGTCCTTGCAAATAGCAGAGCATCTCCTCCTTGACATGTCCCATTCACTCTTAAATTTTCCTACCAGTATTGATTTCTGTTGCTGTCTTGAATAATACAGGTGTTTTTTTAAATAAAAGCAGGGAAAGGCAGGCTTAGCACCAAGAGATCTCAGAAATCTGTAGGAATATTCCTGGTGAGGGCATAATTGATTTCCAGGGAGATGTTTATGATGTATGCATTATCACAATCTCAGAACTTCATTCCCCACCTATTTAGGATTCCCACACTGGATTACAACCTGCCTTCACATAAGAGATGTTGAAGCTTTCAATGAGGTCACGCAAGACTCTGACAAGCACTGATGGGTGAGTCATGCTGCAGTAGCCAGAGATACAAGCAATACATTTGTTAATCTGTATGCAGTCTAACTCTTTTTTTTTGGTCTAGAATCTTATTCAAGGGTGAAATACAATGTCTCAGAGATAGGTGACTGCAGAATTGCTGAAGAGCAAGGCCACAGTTTTACTGTGGTTTATGGATTATAAGAATCGGTGCCTGGAAGCAAGTTCACAGCAATGTAAAATGTTGTTTTATCTATAAAATCTATAAAACAGGAGACCAAGATCCAGATAGGGTCAACAGCAGAGCTGTTCATTGCAGATCACTGGAAAAGCCACCATGCTAATATGGAATCTAGGAGTTCTCAGAAGAGTTCCACCACCTTTTGTCCAGCAGTTCCAGTCATACTCTCCAGCCAACTCTCTTCCAGAGGTTACTTCCCTGTACCACGGTGTAAATACACATCCCTACACCAGCCAGTCTAGGACAAAGGCCAGGGTAGTCACAGCACTGTCGGGCTGGGGTCTGAGCGGAGACAGGCAGCACTAACCCAGCAGGGTCAGGCACAGAACACTCTCTTCTGCTGACTCAGCTGTGAGGGAAAACCTGTGGAGAAGGATTAGATCAGACAACAGCAACTTCTTGAACCACCATGTCAAAATTCTCCATGGAAGCTTTGTAAATGTGGCAAAAAGGACACAAAAAACCATGGAACAAGTGAGATATGGGGAATGAGTGCATGACAGCAGAAAAAAGTTTCTTCATCTTGCCTTAACTACTGGACAGCCAGGAAAAAGAACCAGTAATAAAGGGAAAATCTAAAAGAAATCCTGCAGATGGAGAACAAAGAAATTAAATGCTGTTGTATTTTCATTGCTATGAAGCTAAATTAAGCTTCCTAAGGCAAGCAGAGAAATAATTGCTTTAGATTTCTATTCAGAAGACAGCAAGAGCAGCAAGTGCCAGTGGAACAACTAACAAAAGGTGTCTTCCTTCAGAGAAAGCAAGCCAGAAGGTTGCATAACTGAAATGTGTTTCCTCCCAGTTTCACATTATTAGTCACCTTTCTCCCTTCTCTGCCAAAGGCCTCTTCTTGCCCATCCAGCCAAGGACCAGAGCCAAGGCCTTTCCTGTGCTGCTTCTTTCCACCAGTCACTCTTCAAGATCAAGGACTCCATAATACTTGTCCTTGTAGCCACTGCAGGTATTCTGAACCAACACCAGAGTAAAACCCCCTTCAGCCCTGCTGTTGGGAAAAAATTGGAGATACCTGAAAAGACTCTCCTTGTACTCAGCTGTCATGGCCTAAAAAAACAGTTCTGAAATTCTGAAAAGATTTCAAAGGAAATTTATTGCAAAGACCCATTGAAGAGCCCTCACTAGAGCAGAAGACATGCTACCTAGAGTCCCTTGGAAACCTGTTTGACTCAGGTGGAAATGACCTACTGGCATTTATTTTTAATTGCCCAGCATGGCAGTGGTTGAGGAAGGAAAAGCTGTTGAGTCACACTGCAAGCCACTTTTCCACTTTTGTCTGGTTTCCCAGAGGGTAGAGTCAGTCAATCTCAGTCTCAGGAGGCTGAGATTCTGTTTATGTCTCTGCCACTCATTCCCCATATGACTTTGGCAAGTACTTCTCCTTGTGCCACCATTTCCCCATTTCTTAATAGCTTAAACCACTCAACTCATGGAACAATCGTAAGTGCATAGCAAGGAGCAGCTAATAAAAAGTAAGAAAAGAGTGAAGTATTATAATTTTTGTCATAGAACACAAAAGCAGTTACGTAATAATGTCAGTATTGCTTCATTTTTGTCCTTACAACAAGAACTGTCAGAGGGACACTGTCTGACACAGTATCTTCATCCCAGTGAATGTATCCAAGCATTTACATCACTGATACAAAACCAGATTGTTGTAATCTGGAAGACTCTACCTCGTTTATTTTGACCAGCGTTTCTCTAGAACATGTTTTTCCTGTATAGCCTCATAACCCATAATAATGGCCCAAACTGCACTATAGGAATGATGGCAGCTTTCATGTGCTGGCAAAATCAAAACAATTCCTCACTTGTGCATTGCACAACTAGTCACTCACTAAAACACACAAGTGCTTATCTTCTCTGGAAGCAGAAAACAAGCCGAAAGTTAGTTTCTAAGTTAGTACATCATATATACAAAGAACACTTTCTAAAAATCTCAATGGCATGAAATAATTAAATTGGCTAAATTACATTCTGCTTGTATGACAACAAGTTTCCTAAGAAAAAGCACTGATAACTCCTGTTCACAGCTGCTACATAACTACAGATTTCTCTGCTTCAGGTTTTATGATTGCTTCTAAAATTTACCATTGTTTGCTTAAAAATGGCCAGATTCAAGCAGCATTTGGACTAAAGGCTGAGGAAGGCATGGCTGTAATTGCAGCACCTGAAACTGTGCCCTAATCACACTCTTATCTTTCTTATCTACTGCAAGTATTTATAAAGCAATGATTACCTTACTAGGCCCCATCACTGCTCTGAGTTAGTTCTGAACCAGCACCTTCATATTGCTGTAAGAAGTTTACACTGTTTGAACTGGTGTCATTCTGCTGAGACATAAAGCCAAGCTTTTCATCACTTAAAGTCATAAAAATAATAAACTATGACACCTCTACAGGAGCAGGGGCGTTAACCCCAATGTCCTGGGCAAACCCTTGCTCGAGTAATTACAACGTGCCTTGAATAAATTCTTGCCACAGTTTCCAGTGGACTTAGTATAGTTCTCTACTTCCTCTTCTACAAAATCATGGAGAGCTGGTGCATGGTTTTAAAGGTCCAAGGTCCTGTCCATGTTGGAATGTTGTATGGGTCTACTCCAGGGTCAGCTCTGCAGCAGCACATTGGGAACAATGTGTTGAAACCAGTTCTACCTGTCAGCTGAACCGCTAGGCAATTTGTAATATTTATTTATTGATGTTCTGGCACCTCCTTCAGAACGAATTAACTTTGGGTATAGCTATCTGACAGATAGCCTGGTGCAAATCCCAGGCAGACATATATAAACCTGTTTAGTTCTTTTCTTAAGTGGACTAAATTTGCATCAGGAAATTAGCAAATGAAGCTGAACTAACTTTCTAGATGCTTACTACGGTCTTTTGAGAAGGCAGCAAGAACACAGCTAATGCAATGGGCTAGGAAAGCTAAATGTGCTGTTTAGTTCAGCTGGCGACAATAAACATAATTTTCATAGTGGCTTCAGAATTTCAGTGAACTTTTTCCAAACAGTCTGTTCACAGACTATACCATATATTTTTGAAGCAGTCACTGAATACATATCAAATGCAGATCTAGCATTTCAAGTAAAATACTTGATAGTTAAGGGCAAAGCATTATTCACATTTTTCCGCAGCCACTGTTAAGAGACTCTAAGGATTTTTACCTAGACCTCTCATTATCTTTCACATGTGTAACACTAAGAGCTGAGGCCCAGACTCTCTGCTGGCATTTGCTGGGTTAGCTCCATGGACCTCACTAGCTCTCATAATTCATGAGCTTTCCAGGCAATTTGTCTGCAGGAAGAAGTACAAGATCAAGATTCAGAAGAACCTGATTCCTAATTCCACCTCTTGACCCCGTGGGCGGATCACTCTTTCTTACTGCTCCATTTTGTTCTCCCATCTCCAAAAGTAAATGACACCCACTAATTTGACAAAACAAGTACAAAACCAGTGCTGAGCAGATTCGCATTAAAGACCATTCTTCCAACATTTGAAAACACAAATGTTTACCTTTCAAACATGCCCTTAATTCCCCCAGAAGCATGCCTCCCGTATTATTTCAGAAGACAGAAACTGTAGTTTCAGAAAGTGGATGGTTTTATTTTTGTGTCATTACAAAAATGCCTTTTAACTTGTCAAATGATACACTACAAATATCTTTGGCAGATGAATGAAACCAAGTTTCCTGTCAAAGCTGCCAACTTCAAGGTTGAGATCATCAGATAAACCTTTAGTGTGCCTCTCCCAATACCCACAACAACATATGTTTGAAGTGATCCACATTTGTCTCACTTTTCCTATAGGGATTTGAAAAGGCGAGGTATCAGACAGCTTTGGTACAAGTTCACAAAACTCCAGATGTGGTCCACAATTGTTATGGACAACAACATTCCTCAGGTGTCCCCCCATCCCAGATGAAACTCCCCAGTAGCTCTGCCTGTCTAAAGGTAAGTGCAAAATTCACCTAAACTGTAGCCAGATCACCTCAACACCTGCTGGATACAAAAGCTTTCTGCTAGATTATGTAGAAAATAGGAAGGAAGTTTGTTTCATCCATTTTATTTCAGCAGTGGCAGTAATACTGGATTTACAGAGTTGTATTATTTCATACTGGGGACATCTCAAAACTGAGTATTTGCAGCGCACTATGCCTGCAGTGTAATTCTGAAGTCAAAAGCGGAAGCCATCCCTACAAACACACCTTTGACAAACTTTGTGTCTTATGTAACTGTTTCTATTAATTTATTATCAGGATGTCAGTACAAATTGTTATTTTGATGATTCCTTGCCCCCATACTTCTGAAAGGGAAAGCAATGATAAACACAAGGGAGACTGACCTCAGTGATTTCCTCCGTTCAGACGGGAGCACAATGCACTCAAACACCATGACAAGGAGAAGTGGACTGTTTAGAATTCCTCCAGCTGTAATCTATAGTAAAAACAAATAAACAAATACATGACTACAAGATGTGATAATTAATCCCTGCATGAAGCCAACTGTTATCTCTGCTTCATAGATGGAGATACCAAAGCACACAAAGGCTCAACAACCTACCAAGTTCAACACCCACCACTGAGAGCCAAGAGTACAGTTTAGGAGACCATGTGCTCAGCCCATGAGATTTTTTTTTTCCCCTCTTCTGGCCACAACCCAGACACAGCTCGGACAAGGGCAGGCTGAAATACACCCATTTGGTGAGGGCAGCTGCACTAGAGCAGTCACCTACCACTTCCTGGGACTGTCACAGCCTGTAGATGAGCTCCCCCTGGCCAGAGAGGCAGCTCCACTTGGATCCATGTCCTCACCACAGACCGCTTACCCCAAACCTACTGTCCTCTTCCACATTGTCCCCAAAAAGTTCCCATCCGTGCCAGACCTCTCCCCTACACATGTCCAGGCCCCAAGTACCTCCTTGCTGAGGTCTGCCCCACACCTTTCCTCAGTTTCCTCATTCTCCCTCAGGCCTGCTGCTCCTCAAAATGCTGGCTGAGCTCAAATGGCCTCAGCAGCAGCCCCCCATCATCTTCTCCCTCAGGCCCCTCTCCCCACTCAGTGTCCCCACATGGGGCTTCCACAAATTATTTCCCAAACTTCTCTCAGCACCCCCACATGCCAGCTCTCTCCTGTTCTCCTATCCCTCAGCAGCTCCTCTCTTATCCCCTAAAACTGCTCCTCACACAACCCCTCACAGCTAGTTACTCTCTCCGCACACCCCCAAAAGTCCCTCACACAACCCTTCACACCCGGCCGCCCCCTCCTCACGAGAACCCACCGGACCAACGCCCTCTCCCCACAGAGACCCTCAGACCAACGCCCCCTCACAGCGGGACCCCCCGCCCCTCACAGCCGGGACCCCTCGGACCGCCGCCCGCCCCTCCGCCGCCCCGCCCCCGCTCCCCCCGCCGCCCCCAGCCCCTCCCGCCGGCCGCGGTGCTGGGGGGGGAGGAGAGGGCGGCGAAGTCTCGCGAGAGGGGCGGGCGGGGGCCGCTGGCTGCGGGCAGCGCGGAGCGGCGGCGGCGGCGCAGCCGGAGCCCGAGCGGCGCTGAGGGGAGGTGGCGGCGGGGCGGCGGCAGCGATCGCGGCCCGGCACACGGACCCGCTCCGCCGCGGCGGCGGCACGGCCGGCGCCGCCCGCCCTCCCGCACGCCGCGCCTCCGCGGCGCGGCCTGGCCGCGGCTCGGCGAGCGGGGCCCAGGCAGCGGCGGCGGCGGTGGTAGCGGCGGTGGCGGCGGCTGAGCGCTCCGCCGCGCCCGCCCTGCCATCTTAGGTGCCGTGCCCCGCCGCCTTTGTGCCCGCCGCGCCCGGGCACCCGCGGGGGCCGGGCCCGACGCCCCTCCGGGGGCGCCTCCCCCCGCGGGGCCGCCGCCCCTTGCCCCGCTCCTCCTCCTCCTTCTCCTCCTCCTCCTCCTCCTCCTCCGCGGGGGGCCGACCGGCGCTCCCAGCCCGGCTGCGGCGGAGGGTAAGGCAGGCAGCGCGGCGGGGGGCTCGGCCGGGGCGGCCCCGGGAGGGTGCGGGAGGAGGTGGGTGGCGGGGGCGGCCCGGTGGGGCCGGCGCCTCCCCCGCCGCGCTCTGCGGCAGTGCCGCAGGGTCGGGGCCGCCGCCGCCGAGCCCCGGCGGGGGAGCGGGCGGCGAAATGGCGCTTCCCGCGGAGGGGCGGCCGCGGGCGGAGGGGTGTTCCCCGCTGTCAGGGGCCGCCGGAGGCCCAGGGCTGGGGCCGGGGCCGGCCCCGCGGCCAGGCGTGCCCAGCGCCGCGGCCCTTTTTGTCTGCGGCTCCCCCGGGGGCTCCGCCGGCCGAGCCCCGACCCCAGAGGGGCTTTGAGGTCCCTCGGAGACCCGCGCGGATTTATGCCCTCTTATTTTTTTCATACCTTTTTTTTTTTTTTTTTTTTTTTTCCTCCCTCCTCCATGCCCCTCGCTCCTCCCCAAGCGGTGAGTTTTCAGTGTATATACCATTTTGTTCGGTGCTGGTGTGGGATTTGGCTGAAAGTGACCTATTTTAAAGACCTTTTATTGCTCTCCCCTCAGCAATGCATGTTGCGGCCGATTCCGTTACCCAAATAGCGTTTCCCAACCATTTTAATTTGTCAGATTAAAACATCTCATGGAGGCTGGATTTCTGTAACCAGCGTGTGGGTATGTCGTTAGAAATACCTCTCACCCTGCTTTGCTGCAAGCATCTTTGGAGCATCAGAGTTGACCTTTGTCACTGTGAAAGCAGAAATAAATACCAAGGCGATACCTGGGAGATGCAGTTGTACCATTGTGTTGGGCGCGGTACAAGAAATGGGGTGGGGGGAAGAGAATCAGAGATTAAAATGGTTGTTGTCAAATGTAGATCTTTACATGCCTTCGGAAAAAAATATGACAGATCGGTAACAGCCCTGAGGACTTCTAATATATTTTCTTAGAAAAACGTTTCATGTTTATCATGCTTGTCTCTGCTGCTTATCATGGTACAGAGTATTTCATTAGGTGGCATTTTAGTGGCTCTGTTGGTTAAATAGCAGTTGCATTAACTAGTTGAACAAATTGTGTCCTTCACCTTTGACTATTGCATTTTGAGAGCCGTTACAGCAGTGTGCCCATGCATGCCAAGGGCGGATTAATAAGATGTTACCTAAAGGTTTGGATGTTATTGATTCCTTACTATTAATGCTATTTATAGTGCATCTGACATGGCTCTTGTTTTATGTATTTGGATAAAGGTTATCTGCTTGGAATGCTTCAGATGAAACGTTTCAAAAATACCACCCCAAATATATATATATTTATATCTATATATATATATTTGAACAATATAGTTCAGATTCATAGTGTCTGAAAAACAGCTTTAGGAGATAGCACATAATATTGAAAACTGTGAAAAACAGATAAATTTTGACACTAGGGAAGGTTTGTTTTCATATTTCAGGATTACAGAATAACAACTTCTGTTGCAATAAATACAGGTTTTGGTGTGCTTTTCTTGAGCTTATATTTTCCTTGCCTTTGTGCCTCCTCATAGTTAGTGTGCCATAGTTTCTGCTGCTTATGTCCAAGGGCAAACCTAATCAACGATTGGCTTGAGCCTTCATATTAGGTTCTCCACAACATTGGCCTAGTTCTGACTGGTATGTTTGCCATTTTTAGGACTCCTCTTCCTTTTATCCATAGGCTGAAATACATTGATAAACTTGAACCTCAGTTTGTCCTTTGAATTTGAGAGAATGTTTTTCTCCTCTGTTAACAATATCTCAGTGAAGAGAAGGTGGTTCTGATAGAACAGCCCAACTTTAAGTTTAATCCTGCTGAAATACAACTACCTGAAGTAAAAACTCTTTGGATAGTTGGATATTACTTTTCTTTTTAAGTAGACTGAATTAATTGTTCCCTGTACAGGACCAGATGTTGGCACTAAAATTATGTACAGATAAGGTGGCTTAGGCCTCAAATTAGTCTATTTGAAAAAGTTATCTATGTTCTGCTGTTAAATTCTGGTGTAAGGTAAACTGAAGAACTTTAAATGTTTACTTCCAGCTAAATAACATTTCCAATTGTGCAGTTTTCATCTCTAGTTCTATTCCCCAGTTCTTGTCTCCAGAATAACACGTTTTTAATGACTAGTAGGACAGTCTCAGGTTTTATGTGTGGTGAGATTCATTAGAAGAGAAGCAAATATCCCACTAATAATTACATCTTCAGATGTATCCTAGTAGTGGATTTCCTGTAATGAGGATGTTTTGTAGAGAACAATAGATATGGCAGCAATTTCAGAGATTTGTTTTAAAGATGTTGTAGGTAGCTGACTCTGCAGTAGTGAGTTCCACTTCGACACAACCCTTGCATACTCAACAAAACTTCAGGTGGTTTCCAGGTACTTGGTTTTCAGGTGTAATTTCCTTTCTAGCAAAGACAGACTGGATATCTGGATATACTGCTGCTGTTGTGTCTCATGTCTGTCACTTCTGCAAGGATATACTTCTGATCTAACTTAGTAGGGAGTAAGGTCATTTGCAAAATATGCCTCATAGAAGTTTTTTTGATGGTACAGGTATTTTGTCAAGTGAGAAGATAATTAGGGTTGATCTGGCTTTCTTTGTGATCCAGAAGTGGTGAGGAAGCTACGGTAAATACCACTTGTCTTATTCCATTCTCAGTGTGTTTTGGAGAACACTCCCATAATCACTAAGATCCTATCTTAGAAGCATTTTCTGTTGTGTTCCTGTTCATATTAAAATCATGTAAACAACCTACTGTTAGGTTGAAGTGCATACTAGAAATTATAGAAATCTTTGGTGTTACCAGGGCTGAGCCACGCTCTTGTCTTCTGAATGGCAGTGGTGCTGGGTGGCCATTACCTTTTTCCTGTTCAAGTATGCTTTGTGGTGTCAAAGATTTTACTTTTATTTCCTTTTGTGAACCTGGACAAAGGGAAGAGCTGAACTTCAACCCTGGACTGGAGTCATGTCTGAACTGGAAAGTTTCCTGGGTCTGACAGCAAGGTTTCAGTCCTGTCCTCTTCTGGTTAACCATGCTTGGGACAAGCTTGCCTGTAACAGCACAGAGTAGGGTGATTTAATACTCTCTGAGACCCAGATCTCTCTTCTATAATATTGAGTGTGTCCTACTCTTCTCCACAAAGTGCTCATTCTGGATGGACTCAGTGCAGGATGAAGCCCTGGTATGGCGGCCTGGTGCTCTCTGGCAAGTTCCTGTTTCGCTGGAAGTTGACTGAGGTGTGCAGTCCTGTCCTCCACCTGCTTCTCCAAGTGTCATTCCATTGGCTGTGGTCGTTGATCCTGCACCAGCAGAAAGCTAACCTAAGGAATAATACAGTTTTGTGTCAGCTTGGTGATCTGAAATGGCTCAGTGCACAGTGAGGTGAGGTTAGAGACACCCCCGGGGATTGGGCTGCACCACCACAGCCAGCAATGAGGTTTAAAGACAGAGGTGGCTGGTGGCACTTTTTGCTAAACTTGTAGTGGTTAGGTTTCAGGATTCTTTGTTTTTACTGTCCTTTAACATGCTGAAGCATTGGTGATTATACATTGATTTCTCTGTGGAGAAGAGACTGAAAAAAATTCAATGGACAAAGGGTCAGAAAATCACTAATCCCTTCATGTGAAGTTCCAGAGGGAGAGTCCTTCCTGTTAAAAAATTTAAAATATAAAAACATGAAATCAGAGGTGAAATGAAAGTGTCTGAGGGGAAGAAGTGTGCAGAAAATAGTAGGAAAAGATAGAGAGCTGTTTAAAAGCAAAGTTGGCTTTTACACACTATTCCTTCCTCTTTGCCTAAGTGCTCATTTACAGTACAGAACATGGAGGAGAGAATACTTTCAGAAGGCCCTTAGAAACACAATGGACATTAGCCAGCACAGTGGGGGCTCCAAACGTGGTTTTTAAAGCAATTTTAGAACAAATACTTGGTGGTCATCTGAATTACAGTATTTTTTTAATTGTGAAAGGGAAGCCATTAGGAACTTCTAACACTTGATCAGAAATCAGTGCATTATTACTCTTGATTTTTTTTCACATTCTGCTAAATCTTTGTTTCTTTGCCAGAAGAAAAGGCAAGGTAGCCACTGTATAAACAAAACATGAAATTGCCAAAGCAGCAGTAAGTTTTGTCTAAACAGAGGAGTTTCTCCAGTTTAATCAGAGCTTGCTGAGGACATATCTACAGCATTAGTTACACACCTATAGCTTGGAGGTGAGGTCTTCTTTCTCTTAGGGGTTGATGAAGACAGTCCAACATGAGTTAGAATGATGATGACTTCTTAATACAATTGGACAGTAGCTCGTAGTTTTGCCTGCTGTATTGCTTGGCTGGAAGGAATTTTAATTTTTCTTTAGAGGTCAGGATGGGGTGACAGCATGAGATT